GTATAGTTTTGTTATCTTAGTATAGTTTTCTGCTATATCCAGGAAATTTTCAGGGTATTTGAAAAATACAATGTTTAGGCTAGCCAATATACTCAAAATGTATGGCTTAATTTGTGGCCATGGGAATAAGGAAGTGTATGAAAGATGGAAGAAAGGTTATTTTGTCTGTGCATATGGTATACTGTCAGGAAAATTTTTGAAGAGGCCAAGTTTGTCTTCTACTTGAAGTATTTCCACTTTCTTTTCAATTTCCTGCCTTCACACTTTGAAGTGTGCTGTCTTTCTGTTTTAAGTCCCTTGAGTGCTTTATACCTTTTTTCCTCAAAATATTTTCTATCCCCAGGGTAGTACTACTTCCTCAATACTTACTATTTTTACCTTGTTAGGCATAAGGTTAGTAAAAAATTATATTTTTGTGTTTTTTGAAACAGGGTATCGTTCTGTCACCTGGGACTAGAGTATAGTAGCATCATCATAGCTGACTAGAACCTCAAACTCCTGGGTGCAGGTGAACTTCTCCCCTTGGCCTCTCAAAGTGCTAAAATTACAGGCATGAGCCATGGCACCTGGTGGTGTTTTTTAATATACATAAAATACACTGGCATGATACCATAGTAATATAGTTTTATGTAATATGCATATATTAGGACATGCTAAATTTTTTTTTTTTTTTTGGAAACAGAGTCTCACTTGGTTACCCTTGGTAGAGTGCCATGTAAATTTTTTTTCTTTTTTTTTTTTTTTTCCTGTTGCCCAGGTTAGAGTGCCATAGCCTCAGCCTAGCTTATAGGAACATCAGACTCTGTGCTCAAGCAAGCCTCCATCCTCAGCCTCGTGAGTAGCTGGGACTACAGGTACCTGCCACAAAGTCCAATTAATTTTTCTAGCTTTAGTAGAGATGGGGTCTCAATCTAAGGCTGATCTCTAATTCCTGAGCTCAAGGGATCCTCCCACTGTGCTAGGATTATAGGCATGGTAACCATGCTAACCAGTGCTACAATTTTTTTTTGGAGATAGTCTTACTCAGTCGCCCTGGGATAGAGTTCTGTGGCATCATAGCTTACAGAAACCTCAAAGTCTTGGGCTCAAGTGGTTCTCTTGACTGAATCTCTCAAGTAGCTGGGACTATAGGTGCTCACCACAACGCCCAGCTATTTTTTAGAGACAGGACCTCACTCTTGCTGAGGCTGGTTTCGAACTCCTGAGCTCAGGCAATCCATCCGCCTCGTCCTCCCAGAGTGCTGGGATTACAGGCGTGAGCCACCATGCCTGGCCTCAATGCTCGCCAAGGAGCCCAGTGCTACAGTTTTTAAATTAATGGGGTATATGATCAAAAACATTGTAACTCGGGACCAGTTCTGTAGGGAAATGTAAATCTTGGGTTAGTTCAACAAAGTCAGGTTCAACTTTGAATAATGTTTTTTTAAAAAAGCAAAAAATAAAACTGAGTTCCTAAGTCATTTTCTCTAAGTGGGTCTTTCTCTTAGTAACTTCTTTTACATTTCCAATATTTTCTAGAAGCTCTCAAGTTTTTAAAAATAATGTATGTGGCAATAGCAGCTACAGCAGCAACAAAGAATTACAGTAAAGTATGGCTTTGTGTATATAATCTTAAGTCTCTATTAAGTTAGGGGCTTTCCAAACTCCATAAGGAAACAGTAAATAGATTAAAAAAGAAAAGAGTGTACTTGATTTGTAAAGATTTCCAAAGACATGGCCAGAATAATTAAATTTTAGCCTTAAAAGACTTAGGTTTCATTTAGTTGTAGGATAGATTATTCTTTAAGAATGTAATAAATGGGGTGGTGACTGTGGCTAGTGAGTAGGGCATGAGCCTCATATACCAAGGGTGGTGGGTTTGAACCCAGCTCTGGCCAAACTGCAACAAAAAAAATAGCCGGGTGTTATGGTGGGCGCCTGTGGTCCCAGCAACTCGGGAGGCTGAGGCAAGAGAATTGGCTAAGCCCAGGAGTTGAAGATTGCTGTGAGCTGTGATGCCATAGCACTCTACCAGGGGTAATAAAGTGAGACTCAGTCTCTTAAAAAAAAAAAAAGTAAGTAATAAATGGAATATTTGAGGAAAGTAGCTATTTTGGTGGTATATTTAAAATCATTGACCTTTAGATTTAAAGTTTTCTAACAAGATTTTGGACAGTAAAATCAAATACTTGTCCTTTGTATCCCCTATATGTATTTGAGGCTGATAATATTTGGTACCAGGGAAGACAGGATGAACAAGTATGAATTATACTTTTGTTTTCTTTGCTGTTTGTAATGTTTTTTGAGCTGCTTATTTTAGTAAAGCTCTCTTGATTTATTAAAGCCTTAATAAATGAAAGAGTATTGGAGTTTAACATCATTTATTTGACTGTTAAAAGCAGGCATTGGTCATTAGTTAGATGATTGATTTGGGAAAGAGGTGACTAACTCAAAACATACTTAATGCATTTACTAATTATAGGTCTTTACATTGGGTAGTGAATATATATTTCACACAATCCGATAATACAACTGTTTTTAAGTAGCTGCTTTCTGCCAACACTTTGACCTTCTTTGAGATGAAGAATTTTCTCTGGATTTCATACTTAACTGTTACATTAGTTGCTATAGTAACCAAGTAGAATATGAATTTTACAGAAACAGTTAGAAGGACAGATTTAAAATACTTCCTAAAAAATTGCCTGTCTTTCCTGTAATAATGAACAAAATAAAATAATTTATATACTGATGCCTGACTATACATCATATTATTAAGAATATATTAGTAATGCATGTAGTACTTTTATTTCATTTGAACAAATTTAAAAACATTTTAAAAAGTAATCAACATTTATTATGGAAAGTTTTGAAATAGAGAATAGAGTTTTAAATTGAGATAAATACAAATTTTAAATGCCTGACAATTTTACCACTCAGTGGTAATGTTAATGTTGTTACCCTTTTAGATAAACCTGAGTACATTTCATACATACATATGCATGCAAATATTTCCCTTAACATGTTGTAACATTTTCCCAATTCTTCATTTTTCAAGAAAGCTTTTTATGACTGTGGATTTTTTTCAGTTTCACCAGACTTAAACTTTTTATTGAAATATAATTGACAAAAAAAATGCATCTATAACAGGAATACATCTTTTTTTTTTTTTTTTGCAGTTTTTGGCTGGGCTGGGTTTGAACCCACCACCTTTGGTATATGGGGCCGGCACCCTACTCCTTGAGCCATAGGCGCCACCCAGGAATACAGCTTAAAATTTCAGAAACTGAGCACCCTTGTGCAATTAGCATTTGCCTCTCAAGAAAAAACATCACCAGGTGCCCAGGAGCTCCTCTTTTCTGCCTCCTGTTAGCAACCCCCTCCACACCCAAAGGATAGTCTCTAATTTGATTCTATTAAGAAAAAATAATTGGCTGGCGGATGGCTCACGCCTGTAATCCTAGTACTCTAAGAGGCTGAGGTGGGTGGATTGTGCTAAGCTCACAAGTTTGAGACCAGCCTAAGCAAGAGCGAGGCCCCGTCTCTTAAAAAAAAATAGCTGGGCATTGTGGTGGGCACCTGCGAGGTTGAAGCAAGAGAATCACTGGAGTCCAAGAGTTTGAGGTTGCTGTCAGCTATGACATTACAGCACTCTACCCAGGGTGACAAATGAGACTGTATCTCAAAAAAAAAAATTATTGAGGTATAATTTACACAAAATTTACCCATTTTAACTGTACAATTCAATGATTTTTTGGTAAAGTTACTGAGTTTTGCAGTATCACTATCATCCAGTTTAAAAAAATACCTTTGGACATATTTTAACCAGTTTTCCTGTTGTAGACCACTTAGTTATTTTTTTCACAAGTTTTTGTTATTATAGTTACTGCTATAGTGATTTTTTCTGTATATCTTTGTATACATTTCTGATTTCAACAGGAAAAGTTCCTAAATGTAGAATTATTGGCTCAAAGAATATGTGCATATTTATGGCTTTTGGTACATACCAACAAATTACCTTTGAAGGTAGTCAATCTAATTTATCCTCCCATTATCAATAGGTGGGTGTTTTCTTTTTATTTAACCATTTCATTTTAACATTAGATGTGTTTTTATTTTAGAAGATTTGTTACAGTTTGCAGATGAAATATGGTACTACTGTTTTAATGGTCATATTTATAATTACTACTATGATGATATTTTATATGTTTATGACTATTTCTGTTCCTTTAATGATTTGCTTAAGAATGTTCTCTGTTGGATGGCGCATGTGGCTGAAAGGAGTAGGGTGCTGGCTCCGTATGCTGAAGGTGGCGGGTTCAAACCCAGCCCTGGCCAAAAACTGCAAAAAAAAAAAAGAATGTTCTCTGTCAATTTGTTCTTGAATTCATCTCTCTCTTTTTTATTTTTAAGACATTTTTTTTTTTTTTTTTTTTTTTGAGACAGAGCCTCAAGCTGTCCCCCTGGGCAGAGTGCCATGGCATTACAGCTCACAGCAACCTCCAACTCCTGGACTCAAGCGAGTCTCCTGCCTCTGCCTCCCAAGTAGCTGGGACCACAGGCGCCCGCCACAACGCCCGGCTATTTTTTGGTTGCAGCCATCATTGTTGTTTGGCGGGTCCAGGCTGGGGATTCGAACCCGCCACCTTAGGTGTACATGGCTGGCGCCTTAGCCGGTTGAGCTATAGGCGCCGAGCCTTTTTTTTAAGACATTTTAACATAAAGGATTTGGATCCTATGGCTGATACTATAAATACGTTTTCCAGTTTGCTTTATATCTATCAGTCTCATTTTCCAATAATAAAATAGATTTAGGATTTTGTTTCTTAATATCAAAATGAAAATTTGTGCTTTCTCTACCAGCCTTTGGAAACCTGTCTTGGTAATTTTAAAATTGGAGGCAATTCTGAATTATATGAATAAAAATTTTTCTATTTGAATCTTCAAATTCATATTTCGAGATTTAAAAATAATGAGGTAGGCATGTAAAACTAATTATCTGTTGCTGAACTTGGTCTTTCTAGGCAGTTATACTTAAGCATGAACATTGACGACAAACTGGAAGGATTGTTTCTTAAATGTGGCGGCATAGACGAAATGCAGTCTTCCAGGGCAATGGTTGTAATGGGTGGAGTGTCTGGCCAGTCTACTGTGTCTGGAGAGCTGCAGGACTCAGTACTTCAGGATCGAAGTATGCCTCACCAGGAGATCCTCGCTGCAGATGAAGTGCTACAAGAAAGTGAAATGAGGCAACAGGATATGATATCACATGATGAACTCATGGTCCATGAGGAAACAGTGAAAAATGATGAAGAGCAGATGGAAACACATGAAAGACTTCCTCAAGGACTACAGTATGCACTTAACGTTCCTGTAAGTAATTCCTTCATAAGATATTGTAGTAAGAAACTTAATTAGTTTTAAGTAATACTGTAAGTTATTAAAGAAATTTCAGAAATTGTTTAAAGACTAGTTTTCTTGAATAGATATATTACAATATTGACAGAGATCATGTTTGAAAGGCAGAATTAAGTTTTTATATTACATTATCTTAGAAACTTTTTTTGGGGGGGAATACCATTTATTTGTCTAGCAGAATTTACCTTGTGTATTAAGTTTTAATTGCTTTTTAAAGACATTTAACATCTGGATTTCTTATTAAAGAGTATTAACTAGAAGAATATCACACACTCAGGGGGTTTTCTTTAGATTTTGTAACTCTCAGGAATTCCCTCTTTCTTTATTTTTTTTTCTGATTTACCCTTATTCTCTGTCTTATTTGCATTCTCCACTTGCTTTTTCTGTTTAGTTCTTAAAGTACATCTGCCTTTTACTCTTTCCTTTCTACCATAGACATTGCTTAGGATGTGTTTTTTGGTAGGTGCCTGTATCTTTCTTGCCACTCTCTACTTTTGTTTTTACCCAATGACCAGGAAAACCACAACTGTAATGTAATTTTTACCTCTTCTTTCTGTAGTATTAGATCTGTGTTCCTTTCAGTTCATCTGACATATTGTACTTTTTCTTTTGTTTTAGGGTCTTCCTATATCCTGCTTGGAATGTTATTCTTAGCCATACCTTGTCCCTGTTTTTTTTTTTTTTTTTTAACTTAGTGCTTCATTGGCAGTATCCTGCCACTTTTGTTGACTCTTGGTTGAGTCCCCTTGATAGGAACTTGTGATTGTTTCTTTAGTGTCTGTGTCTCTGATTGGTAGTAGTCTCTGTTATGGCAGGAGTTTTGTCTTATTTTTCTCTGTACCCCAGGTGCTGGCACATGGTGTGAATGAATGGATAACTTCCTATAGTTGTGTTCTAATACTAATACATGTATTCACTAACTTTTACCTAGCCCATTGCAATATCCTTTTCTTCTT